CTGTACTACGGTAGTCACCTGGCAGCCACACTATGCAGTGACAAATGATTATTGTCATCGTAGGCGTCAACACTGGCTCAGTTATCAGTATCTGGAGTGGCCTCCCATGCACAGATGACATTAGCGAGATGTTTCCTAATGCTGTTAATCAGACGTTTGATTTTTCCCTATGGCATCCATGTACTGCGGTGGGGTAGCTTAGTGGTTCAAGCTTGACCTGTCGCGCCAAAGACCTGTGTTCCATTCCCCACGAGGGTGAAGCCCATTTCTGGAGTCCCCATCGTGACATTGCTGAAATATAACTAAAAGCGGCGTAAAATCTTACTCACTCCTATTGTTTGGTGCAGTATTTAGGTCAGATCAATCAGGTTTGAAGCGGAGGGTCTCAAGCTCTCATCAGGCGTCCAAGATAATCCTAAATTAAATCTGTTGGATTCAAATTCGGGTTTATCATTGTCTTCTTAGTTGTATTATGATTCATATGGTGCTTAATTAATGTACATGTATATACATAAGTATACATAGATAGATTTCAAGGTTCCAAATTACACGCGTAATATAATGCAGATATGTTAACCATACTGACGTCCTCTTGAACAGGATTCTTGTAGGATTCTGAGAGGGGGGGGGGGGGAACAAATGCCTATATATGTTCCTCCCCATCACTTGTTTTCTGCTTCCTTTCTAACATTTGAGATACATATCTGCCTGAGAACATTTAATTTCCTTATGCAGGCGAACGGAGAGGTAAATCTGAATGCAAATACGCTATATATATGGTCTATGGTCTTGTATACACAAGGTTTCTTTTATTGAGTGTAGTGTATACACGGTTGTGAAGTGCTGTGACCATGAAAGGTGAGGGAACATTTTGCGTTTGTAAAGATCGTTACCATTTGCTTTATTTGTTTGAAGCTGAATGATTTTAGCGATTTTATTGTTTGCTTATAGGCATTAGATATTTATATAGCTCAGTCGTGCTAATTGATGTCATATAGGGATTTCGATAATGGGAAAGCCTGATTCTTTAAATGCACCCGGTATTAATATATATGCAATATGGGCTGACATACGACCGACAATGACTTATTGTTTGTTTATGTTATATTTCTTTGAACTGTAGACCGTAGATTGCACAGTATTTACACAGGTTACATTGAGTAAGTGGTGATCTTGGTTTTTACAAGGCATGGTGAACAAACAAAGCAAGGTCACGTGATAGGTTGCTGGTTGAAGTTGGCATGAGAATACATAAGTTTTGCCTTGATGGACATTCATTAATTTAGATGTATAGTGCTGTTGCACATACCACAAAAACATGGGGGCGGTGGGGTAGCCTAGTGGCTAAAGCGTTCGCTCGTCACGACGAAGGTCCGGGTTCTGTTCCCCGACATGGGTACAATGTCAACCAATCAATCTTTATTTTAGTACTTAAAAAGGCCACAGGCCTGTAGTAGATTTAGAGTTTACATGAGTAGATAGAAGTCATTCATAAATTCTTTTCTGCAACAATACTTTTTCTTAATCTCATAGCGAAATAGATGTACATTGCCAGATTCTGTAATATTGATGTGGTAGTATCTGTTAATAGTGAAATTAATGTTCTTACACTTGGATGCTTATAATAGTATGGCTTTAAGTAGTTCGTTCGTAGAGTCGTATAAACAGGACAGATTAGAAGGAAATGTAGTTCATCCTCAACAGTACTCATATAACATAAATGTATGAAGCCCATATCTGGTGTCCCCCGCCGTGATATTGCTGGAATATTGCTAAAAGCGGCGCAAAACCATACTCACTCACTCACCCACAAGAACGTGATATTAATTTTCAGCAGCGTTATGACTACAGTACACACATATATTTCAACTGCATGAACGTTTCCTTCGTAAAACACAAAACAACAAGTTAACTGGGCTAATGATGTTCTCGCTGACCTCATGTCTATACAAATACTTGTCACAGCTAAATTGTTCTTTAAATAAATAATAGGCGCACGAACTTGTATACTGTTATATATTGTTTGCCCTCCAGTTCTTCAGAAAGCAATCTTTGAAGTACAAGTGACTGCCAGCACAAGCTCTCGGTCGTTGTCCCTTGCTTACACTCGTCAGTAGGTCACCTTGAAATATACCACCTTTCGTTTGCACGATATGGTTGTATATTTCATCTAGCGAACTTTTGTCAACATTTAGGAAAACACATTGCATATATAAATGTTCCATTTCTTAGGTTTAGCTTTAACGGGCTCAGTGATTTCATTGTCGTAGACAACTGATCAATGAGCACACTGAAAACATAACTGGGCATGACATGTTCAACATAATCAAACAGACATTTTCTTGTCATTTCCAACGAGGCCATTTGCGCATAAATGCATCATGATGTTTACATAAACCAGTCAGTTTTTGACGATAGCGTTAAATTGATTTTACTAAGCAGTGTTTCAGGGTTGAATTCATATGCGAGTTCATAAATATTTAAGTCTGATTTTTTAAGCAGGCGTCTGGTACATAACTGGTTTTGTATTTTTAAAACCACTCATCATGATAATATGTGCATTAATACAGCAGTAAAACAATTCAGTAAGGGGGGACACTAACACAGGGGCGTGTCACGCTTAGAAATAGGTATAGGTATATAGACCCTTGACATATAGGTATATAGACCCTACCCTAGAACTATAGGGTAGGGTCTATGTACCTATATGTCTTTCTAACGCTGTTTCTAAGCGTGACACGCCCCTGTGGACACTAATGCATCACTTTGATCGATCTAGGGATATGTACACAACTCCAAGATGAATATCATCACCACAGCCAAGTGTTTCTTTTGATATTTCAAACCACAAGGAAAAATCGTTACTATCACAATATCATGAAGACGTGACACAAGACGAGAAGTTCAAACCCTGTTGACTGGGGGCTAGGTGGTGGTGCGTGAGCGCGAGAGGGGGGTGGAGGGGTGGGGTTTACATGCGCGTGTATGTTTGTTATTTTGCCTCCTTAAGCCATTATGCTTTCCCTTTGATTTGGAGTTCAGTACATGCTATTGTAGGCTCTAACGTGACAGGCTGGTGCTCGTGGACGTTCAGGGTTTATGGCTGAATAGTTTGAAGCAACATGGCACCGGTGGCAAGGGCAAGTGCTCATTTCTCCCTCACTTAATACAATAGAAAAGAGGAAATACTTCATGACACTTGCCTTTCCCAACACCACTTCGCTAATTACCTCACATGAAATTTTAAATTTCATCAGAGTGTAAGTTTTATTACTGAAACAAGATACCATCCTATTGTTACGATTCCTCAAAGTGTCAGTTTGACACGAACCGGAAGATTGTTATCGATTTGCTATTTTGTGCTTGAAGATGAAATCGCACTGACAACAGAACACGGTAACCTTCAGTATCCAACAACAAACAACACAGGGTATAAATTATAAATGAACGATTGCAATATACTCATGCCAATAATGGTTGTCACCAACTTCAATTATTTTAATTGGAGAAGGGGTGTGTGGTGTAAGGTGGGGGTGGGGTGTGGGAGGGGGTGACAACCATTATTGGCATGAGTATATTTTAAAAGTGATATTCTAAGCTGATATAGCGATAACATTTAATTATGATACTTAAATTAAATTGTGTAAATACATCATGACGTCTTTAGTCTGGTAAAGACATCTGTAGTATTAACCTGCAACTCGACACTTCAGTTAAAGCACATATCCTACTGAATTCATAGTTATTTAAATCTAATTCAAATATTTAAAACTATACAAAAAAGTATGGTGATATGCGAGGATTAAAGAATTTTTTTATAAATATATAAAAATTTGAGGTGACCCCAGACTCGAAATGCTTCACAGTACCAAATACATCATGCATTGTACTGTGAAGCATTTCGAGTCGGAGTCATCTCAAAAACAATATTTTTTAAATAAAATAAATATAATAATTATAAACACATTCAATTAAGTCTTCATTTATTACTAAATATTAGTCACGTGATCAAAGCGGGTCCGGGTAACGTGACGGGTACCCGGGTCCAACTCTTTATCCACCCGTCCCGTGTATCCGGGTTACCCCTCCCAGCCCTAACGACGATCAACATCAATTTGCATGCATCGCGGACAATGAATATTAAAAGCTACTGTGCTAATGAACATAACCTTACTTGACCACAGTTGTTATTACCATCCAGTATACTTTCACACATCTGAGGCATCGTGGCATACTAAACTATCCATTGTGGTCATAAAAAATCAACTATGTATAATAATCATGAGGATATTACATTACATGGAATAACCGATGGTCGACCATTGATGCTCATTCCGTCCCCATTGATATTCAACAGCCAGCTTGAGTATATCTGTATTATTGAGTGACTGAGTCGGGAAATCAATGCAGAAACAAACGACAGTGTAACATGGACAAAGGAAGGTACTGGTGCACGTACTGTCGTGTGTTTGTCATACATGTTCATAGCTCTGAACACTGGCGGATCTATCTAGAGGTGTGATAACTACACACAAACACGCGCGCGCACGCACGCACGCATACACACACACACACCACCACCACCACAACCACCACCACCTCCAGTGAAAAGGGTTAGAACCTCTTCTTGTTGTCTTTATGATAATGATAGTAATTATTATTCCTTGTGGTCTAAAATATCAAAAGAAATACTTGGCTGTGGTGATGCTACTCATCTTGTTGGAGTTGTGTACGTATCCCAAGATGGACCAAATAGGCAATATCTATGAATAGAGTCTCTCTCTCTCTCTCTCTCTCTCTCTCTCTCTCTCTCTCTCTCTCTCTCTCTCTCTCTCTCTCTCTCTCTCTCTCTCTCTCTCTCTCTCTCTCTCTCTCTCTCTCTCTCTCTCTCTCTCTCTCTCTCTTCAACGCAACTTTTCACCTCACCGTCAGTTTGATCACTGTCTGAAGTAATTCAATATTGACTGAAGTAATTCAATATTGACAGAATAATTACTTACGAAGGAAGTCCAGGTGAAAATCCCGTGTGAGATTCTTGACAAGGATTTCATGTGGCTCTTCCAGAAAATGAAACACAGTCGCTGACAGGAGAACGTAAACGAGCAGGACAGCTAAGAGGATGCCAATACTCTTCCACAGCATGGCGAGTTGTCACGCCTGCAGCAGACGGGGAGAAATAAATGTTGCTAAGCCTAGCTGTTCACCACGCACGTTACCCAATCCGATAGGCGCCGATTCCAGACCGCTCCTCTCGTTTCGTTCCTAGCATCGGAAAAAATGAAGAAACTTGTCAAGATACTAGAATTAAGTGAGGTATGTATGATGAATGGTTTGTTCGGCTATGACGCTACGGCTCCGCGGTTTATAGACTTTGAACTGGCCCTTGTTGATGAAGTTTCACCAGGACGACAGAAGATGCCGTTGACCGTGTACAGACCTTGGGGTAGGGAGTATACGCCTGGGTCGATCCTCGCCACGCGATACAGAACGAACAGTTACACAATTATAGGATCTGGGTGCTTCGATCGATTGTTGGGAAGCGTTATATTGAACTATTCATATCTCCCAGTAGGACACCAGACTGCTCGTACTGTCAATAGCTTGATAGGAAATTAAGACGGTGTACTGTACGATATGTATATCCCGTTATAGGTCCAATGGCAGGCAGCTGAGGAATAGTACTGAGACATCTGAAGGAGCCAACAGTTCGGCACTTGTCGTGATTGAAGAAACCTACAGTTCGGCACATCTCTAGTGATCTTAGCAAGAGTTTAAAACATCAATGCAGAAATATTGAGCCGGATAACATGTTATGATTCGAGATAATGAAGTTCATGGTGGAAACGCAGGTTGAAGCATTGGGCCGCATCCCACAAATCCATCGTATATCCATAGTTTAACACAGACCTAGACGTAGCAGTAAGATCGCTTTGTGAACAGGACCGTGAAGTTTGGCTGGAATGCCAACATGCATGCTAATAGAAATCAGATACTAAGGGTTTCATGAGAGATTCACACCAACAGAACTCTGTTCTACTTGGCTATATTTATTCACTCGTAAGAAGTTTATGAACCTAATTTCAAGCCACAGCCTTCCCTTTTCTTGGCAACAATACTGTTTCCCGTCCGGCGTGTATTTAATTGATTTGCTAGGGGAAAACTGACAATAGATATATTGATTTTTAGATGTACATCAATTGCACCTTTGTATATGTTGAGAGCGTTATAGTTTAGATTGAACTGTTAAGTTACGTTAGGTTACTTTCATGGAAGAATATTGATTTTTCATGGTTCATTTCCAGTCCCGGTCCTGGCGCCTGGTATAAAACCGATACTTTACAGCTGTGGTAATCAATTACATCTCCATGAATGTCTGAGAGGTCGGAATCAGAATTAATATACAGTTGTGGCCTATGGCTGGGCATGGGCGCGTTAATTAATATTAACTGATGTGAAAACAACATATCCAACCTGTATGTTCTCCCCTGTAGTCAGGGGCGGTGGGGTAGCCTAGTGGTTAAAGCGTTCGCTCGTCACGCCGAAGACCCGTGTTCGATTCCCCACAAGGGTAAATTGTGTGCAGCCCATTTCTGGTGTCCCTCGCCGTGATATTGCTGGAATATTGCTAAAAGCGGCGTAAAACCATACTCACTCACTCACTCACTCCCCTGTAGTCCGCCGTGATGTTGCTGGAATATTGCTAAAAGCGGCGTAAAACCAAACTCAGTCAGTCTCCCTTGTAGAGCGTTGCTATGTCCTCATACGTTCCCTTCACAGTTAACGTCTAAAATAGACTCATCGTAAACAAAAGGCACCATTTATCTGAAAAAGCTATCTCCGTTGGGACATGGATAGCCCAGTGGTTTAAGGTGCCAGAATTCGATGTGTCTCTCATAGGCGTGCCAGCAACCTGTGATCACTGGTTCGAATCCATGTTCGCCTGATTCATCTTTCAAGTGTATCGGCACCATACCTGTGTCTGTGTATGGTAGCAGGGACGGTGGGGTAGCCTAGTGTTAAAGCGTTGGCTCGTCACGCGGAAGACCCGGGTTCGATTCCCCACAAGGGTAAATTGTGTGCAGCCCACTTCTGGTGTCCCCCGCCGTGATATTGCTGGAATATTGCTAAAAGCTGCGTAAAACACTCACTCACTGTGCACAGCAGAATAGAAATACTGTACAAAGCAGGGTTGAAGAGTCAGAGAACAAAGTCGTTAGCCACATGGATCACAGATAACAACAATAATTGTTTTTGAATTCAAGAGACCGATGTCCATCATAAATTAACTTAAGACTATTACAGAGTGATCTAAAATTGAAACTTTCATAAAAAATATTATGCATTATAACTGAAAATACTGTACAAAGCGGCGCTGGAGACTCGGAGAACAAGGCCGATAGTCTGTACCATATATTATAGATAAGGGCGGTGGGTGGTTAAAGCGTACGCTCGTCGCGATGAAGACCCGGGGTCGATTCGCACATGAGCACAATGTGTGAACCCTATTTCTGGTGTCCCCCGTTGTGATGTCTCTCGAATATTGCTAAAAGCGGCGTATTACCATACTCACTCACTCAAGATAAGTCTGGAATGATTTGCAAGTCTAGAGTGCATCAGCTCTGAAATTAGGAACTTTCTCGGTTCCATTTGAATTATGTTTTTTATTTGATAACTACATGATTTTAATGATCTTACTTTATTTCCGAGACTAATCATTACTCTACACGGCCGCATGAGAAGCGCTGTTACGAAGCGTCGGTCTAATAAAGGGGTACCTAATACTGTTTGTCTACGATCAAGGCGTAAACTACTGGAATTACCTTGCACTTACGCAGCTCAGGGAATTCGATCTGCACACAAACACCTGAACGACTCTTGAACTACTTTCAGCTCTGACATTGGGTGTGCTCATATGAAACACATCACCCCGCCATCCTCACCTGGTGACGACATTCCTGGAAGCAAAGTAATGAGAAAGATGGAATTACGATGGGGAATCTGCAAATATTTAATCAATAGAGCTTCAGGTATATTTGTCTTCTACATCCTGCTATAGTTAGATATATAAGTGATTTCTAAGGTGAACAGGATTGATTGTTAAGACCTTCGTCTCTGCTAATTGACAGGACGTGTTTACATACATGTTCTTTTTTACATTGAACATAAAATATTTACGCATGTAAGTGGTATGCCCGTCACTTTTTGTCAGCGTCATGAACTGTTGTTTGCTGGAACGAGGATAAACTGTATTTGTAAACAATAAACATTTCCATCGAGGAGTGAGTGAGAGAGTTTGGTTTTACGCCGCTTTTAGCAATATTCCAGCAATATCACGGCGGGGAACACGAGAAATGGGCTTCACACATTGTACCCATGTGGGGAATCGAACCCGAGTCTTCGGCGTGACGAGCGAACGCTTTAACCACGAGGCCATCCCACCGACCTTTTCCACCAAGGAAGGAGTGAAACAATAACTGCTATATACCATGTGTATACCAGAAGAGTGTTTAGCAGAAGAGAGTATTAACTTGTGAATACCTTCACATGAGACACACTGGCATATCACACTAGGTGATGCCCAATGGTTTACCACCCTATTGATCATGAAGGACTACGTTCTGTAGTGATGAGAATCCGCTCTTTATTAGGGCTGTTGTGAATTTGACCTGAGCCTTGTACAGTGTTTTACTTTATGAAATAAAATCAGTAATAATTATTACTAAATAATACCTAGGTTAATGTAACGGTGTTAAAAGGATATTTTTCCAAAGGAAATAGACAAGGACATCCCTAACACGTTCCCTCCTAGTATGTCACACAGACCCTGAAACAAATATATCCAATACACAGCGTCTGAATCTATTGCAGTGGCTCTGAGCTCCTATACATTACATATTAGGAGATATAAATTCATAAACTGATCTTCCTGTCAAATATTTTCATTTTAAAGTCTAATTCCCTCCCTGTATCTGGGAATGTAACAGACTGGTGACCAAGAATAGACCAAAAGAGCAATTTCACTACAATCAGTCATACTCCTTTCAATATTATATCAGCACATTGGTTTTATGAGCCTCGGTGGAGTCGGTTGATGTATTTCCTAGTCCCTTAAGTGAATGTAACGGTTCGATTAACCACAGACCAGCTAATAATGTAGGACTTGCAAGTAACCAGTATCTGGTAATTCCTGACTTCCAGTTGGAAAATCAATGCATCGAGAATTAAGTGTGGATACATTTGTAGCGAAATAAAACCAATGGTCCTACGTAACCAACTAAACTAGTGACGACATGCACATCTACATCACCAACGCAGAGTCAAGACATTGACATTGTTTTCCTTCACGACGTATGCAACAACAACTGTCCTGACAATAATTATTAGCAGCTATTGCAGATGTACTATAGGTAAGGGTATCGTTGTTCTTCAACCCCCTTGCCGTCTCAGTCCGACGTAAATACTAAAAGGTTTCTTATTTTAATTTCCTCTGTATCTATTGACATGTGTGCCTTGACTGACTGACTGAGTTTGGTTTTACGCCGCTTTTAGCAATATTCCAGCAACATCACGGCGGAGAACACCAGAAATGGGCTTCACACATTATACCCATGTGGGGATTCGAACACGGGTCTTCGGCGTGACGAGCCAACGCTTTAACCACTAGGCTACCCCACCGCCCCTGTGTGCCTTGATGTGATTACAAACAACGGTTGCTGGACACACTCATGAAAACATAGGTCAGCTTGATAGTTCTTCATATAATTATTTAAATATTTTTTTTAAAACTCAAGCGATCGATGTGCATCATAAATTAATTTACAGACCGTATACAAAGTGATCTAAATTTGAACATTTCATAAAAAATATCGTACAAAATTAGTGAAAAAACAAGGTTGGAGATGAAAAACATTAGAATTACGGATGGCCTAAGTTTATGTACCCTCATAACAAACCCAACAATATCCGCAATCCATGCTGCCGGACTGAAATTAGCTGCTTAGAGCTGCAGTGTTGACGTGCGGGAATAACTCAATGTTACAACGATTTTCCTGTGTGGAGGGTTTTAACATACTGTTTATTTCTAAAACACATGTAAGGCACGTTGCTAGGCTGAATGTTGTTGTGTTGTCGCTGATCTCGGTGCATAATCGATATGTCCTTCAATCCCTTGGCGGTGTGCGAGCAGATCATATCAAAATCTATCAATATTTCAGTCTCATTAAATTCAAATGTTCAACTCCTATACGACATGTCTCTGCATGAATATCCAAGGGACAGTAAGATTCTCGGTACGCACGAACGTGGCTTTCAAACCTGCATGTCCTATTTCTGTATCTCGAAAACGAAGTCAGTCGGCTTGTTCCGAATGTAAACGATAAATCCCGGGCTGTTACATTGTTGGGCATATATTTATTATTCACCCCTTCGCTGAGTGATATGTCAGTAACATGCTAAGATAAAATACCATCACAGGAGTCATTGTGTTTTCTAGATCATTTCTTTCGATAAAATAGAAATTTCCCAATGGATGGACTGAAGATGTTCACAGAATGTCTGAAACGTTTGAGAATGTAATCTGCTTCGCGGATAATTACCAGATGCACGTGGTTTCAGTGAATGCCATAGATGTGTTTGGGACAAATGTTCAGTTTATTATAAAGATTATGTCTTTTGTTCTCAG